GCTCATCACCTCTTCAGCTCCCAAACTTCTCAAGTCTGGATTGAAATAAGGACACATTTTCTTCCTCCTACTCAGAATCCATCAAGATTTTTTTTTTTCCCAGTAGCAATTAATTAATTGTGTAATTAATCTGGAGAAAAGGAAGTGTTGAATGTGCTCTAGACCACTCAGGTTAGATCTCCAGAAGCGGTGTTTGACAGAGGATAGGAATCAGAGCAGCGTTTGACAAAAACCCAGCGACAATTTTACAAGTGTGAGATTTGCTTCACACCAGATACTCTTCCGTGTGGTCATTTACCTGAGTGGAATGGAAAATAGCATCATAAATAAATTAGAAACATAGATTAGGTCTACTTGAAAATACCAAAATTAGGTTTTATATTCATGAGAGGTCTGGATATAGAATAGTTGCCTCATGTCTGAATTAAAAATCTATCCATGTGCTGCTTAACACGTTGAATGTGATTTCTACTACCGAGGGAAGCCTTTCTTAGCTACCAAGGAAAAAGCTTGTATACCTATCTTTCTTTCCCCTACTGCAGGAGTAAAGAGTTTCCCAAAAAAATATTGCCTGAAACAAACTCATGCTTAGAAAGTCCAGTATATCAGACTATTCCTGCAGGTCAGGCTGAGGTGGTGGTAGCCTGCTTTTATCTATATGACGGTAAGATTTTGTGTGGAAGGTCATTTACAAGTGGGAGGAATAGCCATCTGAAGATGTTGAGGTATTACCTGGTCCATCTTAAGCTAGATCACAACTAGAGAGACTAACGTTAAGTGTGTCTCGAAGTGCAGTGACAGAGTTTCTCTTCAGTGAGCAATTTTTCAGCCAACGTTATTTAAGAGGCCCTATGTATTTTAAAGTACGGTAGGCATCCATCTTGTGTCATTTCAGTAGTACAGCTGATTCTTCCATTAAAACCATATAGGAGTGACTTTGTAATGGTATTTCTTAAATCTGTAGTTTGGTCTTTGGGACTTTTCCTAATATTTAAATGCTTGGAGTGGCAGTTCTGGATACTGATTTAAACAAAACAAAACCAAAAAAAAAAAAAGGAAAATTTCCTTTTTTGTGAGCAAACAGGTACCTGATAGTTAATAATGTGTATCGCTGTGGGCTCTGTAACATACTGATCCATTACAAGCCTGGCACGAGAGTTTGAAACTATTATAAGTGGGTGTGTTTTCTTTTCTCCGGTGAAACAAAAAGAATTTGCTTTTAGCCACAAAGATTATAAAGACTTTTCTATTACTTTTCTAAAAATGCAGTTTAAAATATTTCAGAGATTAGTAAAAAAAGGAAGATGTGCAGTTATATTTTAGTTCAGGTTCTCTGGGATTCGTGTAATTGAATTTGAGTAACCAGAGTTTATGGTTGTGTGTTGAATAGAAAACATAAATGTTGAATTTAATTTTATGTTATGCCACCCATTTGTATGAACTACGTTTACCTATTGGCTTATTTACAAAACTAGCAAAATGCTAGAAGGAAAAAAAAAAATGAACACACATGAAAAATCTTTTTAACGTGTCATCTCAGTAGGTCATGTACACCTTCATGGGCAAACACGCGCTTTAGAGAATCTTTCTTTTTTCTGTTATGTTCCATTTTGGAGGCATTGCCAGCGGTGGCTTCTCTCCAGAATTAGATTACCAGTAGCACAGCTACATTGGCAAAAAACAAATTTACTTGCCATAGCTGTGGTTTTCATTCATCTCTACCAATAGGTTTGCTATTATTACCTTCATCTTAGTTTTGAATAATTTCTGAGCAACTTGTCTGATTAGCAGCTTTTCATTGGCGTCTATAATTTGGAAGTCGGTGTTTCTGAGCTAGAAAGCCAGGGAGGGCGGGGGTGCCAGTTTTTCAGGTATATACGAGGCATTTGGCAGGCCTGGGGGTGTCAAGATACAGAGCATTTGCTATTCCTGCCTCATCTGAAATGTTAAACACAAAACCGTAAGTGGAAATCCCATGGGACATATGTTTTCAGTGCACGGTTGGGTTTTTGTTCCTCAAGTGCATATCTGGTTTTTTGTTCCAAACTGCTGCCTAGAGAAATGTCCTTGTCGTGAAATGGCTTTTATTGCTTTGCTAACATATTTCTCCTCACAGCAGAATAGGCTATCCTCTGCTTTATGATTACAATTTGTTCTTACTTTACCCTTTTTTTAATTTATTATTTAATTTCTGTATTGAAATGTGATAATGGTACCTGGGAGAGAGGGTGTGATCTTTCTTCTCTTGAGTTCAATGCAGTGCCTCATGTACTGTTAATTTTGTACCTTTTTGAGTTGTCATAATGTTACAGTACTTGGAAAACGTTTTTTTAAGTTACAAATGATGTAAGGCTTTGATTCAGTTCTTACCAGTTAACAGTGTAGTTGCATATCCCCTTTCAGATAGTATTTGTTTAGAAAAATGGTAATTGATACTTTCTGATAATTGATACCTTCTGATCTCTATCCTATGAGCTATATTTGCAGGGCAGTTGAGAATGGAAAATTATTTTATTGCGTCAAAACCATAGTTAAATATATTTATAATTATACAGGTTTTTATATATGCAGTATATAATTTTAATACTCGAATGTTCTCCAACGAATCACAATGAATAAAGTAGAAAGGTGTAGTTCAAGGCAATTTCGCTTGCTCTCATATGTTTTTTCTGTATGACTACTGTCAGTTCAAGACAGTGCCTTAAGTGAAAGACAATGAGTAATTTATTTTATACTTCAACTTTGGTAAAGGGGTATAAAGACAACCAAATAAACTTTATTATTCTCTCACTC